TCCTTTCTACGGCACCATCCAGGGAGGTGCGAGCGGGACCCCCCTCCTTCCAGACGGGGGGGTGGGGGGGGGAAGGGAAGCTTTAAAAAAAACCAAACCAAAACAACAGAAAACAACCCAAACCCTGTTTCCCCCCCCGCCCGGGAAGGGCGTTGGGGAGCAAGAAACTTCCCCGGGGTTTTTGCAGCCAGCCCCGGGCACCGCTACGGCCGGATCGAGCCTTGTCAGCGAGAGGGGACCGGGGGGGGGAATAAATAACTCCACGAATTTCTTCCCTGGGGTCTCAGTTTCTCCCCCCCCCCAGTTTTGTTCCCTGCGATTTATTAATTTATTTTCTCTCTTCCCTTCCTCCCACAACCACCAGCTCCTGCTTCTGCCCCCCCCGTCCCCTCCTTTTCTCCCGCACGTAGGGACAGTGGCTCCCCTATAGGCGCTTTCCCCCATTCGGTGGCTGGGAGGCGTCACATGGAAGCCGGGGGTGTTTGCCTGCAGAAGCGGCGGCGGCGAAAGCGAAGTGAAACTCCTGCCGAGACGGTGTCAAAGGGCTGGGGAGGCCCTTCCCCGCCTCCCGGGCACGGCGAGCGGCCGGCGGGGAGGGATGGGATGTGCTGCCGGGCGGGCGGAGGGACCGGCGGTGTCAATCACGGAGCCGGGAGCCGGCCGACGGGAAGGGAAGAGCCGAGCCCGGCAGAGCCGAGCCCGGCCTCACGCTGCGGATGTCCGGCACCGAGAGGCAGCGTTGCTGCCTTCCTCCAGCCCGCATCCACCGCGGGGCTGCGGGCTGCCCGGCCCGGCGGCGGGGGCTGGGCGGCAGGCGGGGGCCGGGCACGTCGGGGTGCGCCGCGGGCGCAGGTACCGCCGGCCGCCTCGCCGGAGAGGGACGGGACTCTCCTAACCCCCGGCCACCAAACCCCCAAAGCACCCGCCGGCTCTCGAGCAATTTCCTTCGCACCAAAAAGCGGAGAAAACGGAAAACAACCGGCGGGGCGGCGGGCGAGCCCGTGTCCGGCCCGGCGGGATAGCCCGCTCCGTCGGCAGCACCTGCACGGCCCGCCCGGCCGCCGGCCGCTCTGCCCCGGCCGTCGGGGAAGGTCGCCCCTGTTCCCCTCCCTGCCCCGGCGAGCGTCGGGCGCTACTCACCGCCCGGCACCGGCCCCTCGGAGCGCCGCGGTGTCCCCCGGGCCCTTCCTCCGCATAGGCGCGGGGCGAGGCGGCGCTCCCGCCCCGCGGGGCCCGGCCCGGTGCCGGTCGCAGCCCCGGTGCCGGTCGCAGCCCCGGTGCCGGTCCCTTCGGGCTGGTGGCCGCACCGAGGTCCCGGGGGGGAATGCCCCGACGGGGCGGGCGGAGCCG